AAAAAAATAACTGTAGTAAGAAAAACAAATGAAAAATGCAAACTAATGTAATGTCGTATGGTGAGTTTTTGTTCGTATCGTGGAGCAAAAATATGTTCGAATTTCATGTCGTATCCTGAAAATTTCGTATGCTGGGGCGTTCGTAACCTGAGGTACCACTGTATTTTAAATAAAATATTGCCAAAAGAGAAACTTGTATGTATAATTCAAATTGGGGGCTTAAACAATAAGAAAAAATGGTTTGATTCCATTATGGATCCTTTTAAAGTTTCCATTCTGGTTTGCTTTATCAGATCCATGAAAAGCAGTAACCAGTTCAACAGATAATGGTTCAGTTCGGGGTTTGTTACCATGTCAGCTTATTTTCAGTTATGAAATCTAAATTTGAAAATAACAATGTTAATTGGCAATAAATCTTTTAGCAAAACAATAAAATACAAATTTAAAATAATCACATTATTGTTAACAGAGATATAACTCCAGTGCTGTGTTAACCAGTTCCAAAGAGTACTGGCCTGTTTGGCACTTGCCAGATGGCCAATTTAGCCTTGATTGAGGGAACTCTTGATTGTTTGTAGAAATGCTCATTATATACAAAAGCAATGAGTTTACAACTTTACAAACTGGTTCTGGTATAATCTTGTTCCATATCTTTGTAAATCAGTTTTGTAGACAGACAATATACTGCCTATAATTACAATGAATGATAGACTTGTAATCTAGGATTGTAAATATCAACACTGTTGGGCTTTAACTTTCTTAGTTTCTTACTACTACTGACATATACTACTGGTAATCTAAACACATAGACACCTACACCAGCATACCTCAAATTACTCACTTTTACTGATGTATTCATCTGTATATAACAGACATCTTCAGGTATATAGAACACAGAACAAAACAAATTAAAATTAATTTGTCTGTTTTATTCTTTGTTCTATATACCTGAAGATGTCTGTTATATACAAATGAAAGCATTAGTAATTTTATTTTCTTGGGTGAAAATAAAAACTTTAAATTGTAGAAAAAGAAATTAAATTTCCTGATATTTTATAATGAATAATAAATGTTACGTTCAGTAATTAAAAATGGCATAAAAATTGTACATAAGAAATTTTAAAATGATAAAATTAAATTATGAATGTGAAAAAAGAAGAAGAAAACTTTGAACACTGGGATCGAACCCTCAAAAACAAAGACACTGCAAATAACAACTGAACTAATCATGCCATGCTGTTACTTTGTGAACTGGTTTTCCATATTGGTATTAATGGTTTTAGAAAACTTTTATCTTAATTTTTCCAAGAATTCCTGAATAATGGGTCCTGCAGCTTTATTAGAGTTTAAATACAAGTAATTACTACACATCACAAAATTTCGTCGAAATCAGTGGTGACAAATTATCAGGTTTCCCTTCTCAGGGTGGTATAGTATTATCCATCAATATTTTTTGGATACAATGGATTTGGAGTTGGATACAATAACAAGATATATGTATATTATATCTAAGTGGATAGTTTCTTTAAGGTTTATGCATATGTAGCAAAGGAATTCTTTAGTTTGATCTAATTGCATTATTACGATTAGTTATATTCACATTGAATTATAATTTTGGTAGTATTTATCAATTATTCACATACATATCAAGATGAACAACTGATTAAAAGGATTCTTATATTTAACTATTGTTTTGAAAAATCAAAAATTCCTGATATTACAAAAGATAAATGCCCTCATTAATCGGAAATTAAAGCATGTAATTTTTCAAAAACTGAAAAAGAATTATTTTTCGTATTTGCATGCCAATGCTTTACACCTTTTCATCTCTCTTATAAATACGAGGGTAGGCTGAAAAGTAATGCACACATGCTTGTAGAGCACAAATGAAATGATTTTCAGAAGCATGCCAGGTAGCATATGGAAGTAACATTCCCCCTCTATGTGCATGTGCAGTTTGAGGTTGTTGCATTCATTCAGTATATTTTGAGAAGTGGAAATATGGAGACATGTTCTGGTGCTATGTCAACGCCAGTTAAACAGCATGCTGTTATCGAATTTTTAACTGCTGAAAAAATTACATTTAAAGGCTGTTTATGGTGACTATGCTGTTGATAACTCTACTGTAAATCAATGGATAATAAAATTTCGTGGTTGTGAGCCTGGAAAAGCCATAATTGTTGATGAAACACGCAGCGGATGTCTGATTACTGCCACAGACGATTACCGTTGCCCCTTGTTGCAGTGTTTAATTCTTCTCAGTGCATACAGACTCTAAAACATCTCAGACATCGAATTTGTCATGTTAGAGGCAGCCTGGTGCCAATAATCTTGCAACATGACAACGCTTGTTCACACACCTCGCATGCAACTGGAGAGGCTCTGCGAAACCTGAAGTTTGAACCGATTCCACACCCTCCTTATTCCCCCGATCTTGCACCTTGTGATTTTTATTTTTTCCTCTACTCAAGAGAGACCTCAAGGGTGATCATTACACCTTGGACAATGAGGTGAAGGCAGCTGTCAAGTCCTGGATTGGAGAAAAGTCAGAAGAATTTTTCAGTGGTGGAATGAAAAAATTTGTTACACATTGGGAGAAATGTGTTAGCCTTAACAGTGACTATGTTGAAAAATAAATATATGATTTTGAAGCTTAAGAATTGTACTTTAATGTACTTTTTGCCCGATCTTGCTATTTGTTTTTGTTTGTGTTCTACAAGTATATGTGCATTACTTTTCAGCCTACCCTCGTATAGTCATAGTTATAATTTCAACTATTAATAATAATAAAATTATTCATATTACCAATTTTTACCAATTACAGTGGAACCTCACTTAATGAGTGACGTTTCATGTAACGAGTGACAAGAAAAGGGGAAGTCTCCGATTGTGCACATATTCCATCAGTTTGTGTTTAGCACTCATTCTACGAGCATTTTAGTGTTGCTTGTCATCACATATTTTTCCAAACTTGTGTTCACACATATTACATATAAACGCCAACAAACATAGTCTGTTATATAATAAACATGCCAAATGATATGCAAAATTGTTGGGCTATGTAAAGGCTATAATTAAATATTAGAAATTNGATCATTTTAGTGTTGCTTGTCATCACATATTTTTCCAAACTTGTGTTCACACATATTACATATAAACGCCAACAAACATAGTCTGTTATATAATAAACATGCCAAATGATATGCAAAATTGTTGGGCTATGTAAAGGCTATAATTAAATATTAGAAATTGATTAATTTGACTAGAGGTAGGCAGTTATGCTGCCATCTCATATTAAATTTAATGACCAATTCCAAATTAAATTTCAATTTTTTTTTTTTTTTCGTTTTCTACAAATTGAATTCACATTCCAGGTTGGTTCATTCCATGCTAGAAGAAAAGATGATGATTTACACTCCTTAACAATGTATATTTATAATTTTCCTACCATAACAAATAAATTATGTTATACATAAAATATTTGAGTATTTTTTTCGACATAGAATGCATTATCATACTTTACATTAATTTATATAGAAAATTGTTTCGCCTAACGAGTGTTTCACGTTACAGTAAGATTCTGGAATGAATCATACTCGTTAAGTGATGTTCCACTGTAGTACTTTTATTTATTTTTAATTACTGTTTTTTTTTATGAAATTTTACTATTTCCATTTTATTAATTATATTTTAATTTTTTCACAATTGTGTGTATAATTTATTGTTGTTCCTAGTTTACTCATATTTTTGCAAAACATTAGATCTCTTGGGATTAAAACTTTCTTCTTCCTTTCTGGCTGTTCAAAACTCAAACTCTCAACCATGAATTCTCACCAAAAGCCAGATTAAAAACAATGCTACAGATATCTTTAACATGCACTGCAATTTTGGACACAAATATGTCATTAATCTTGTTAACTGGCACAAAGGAGGCATTATGGTTATTTATCATTCTGACTACAAATTGCTAAAGTGTTTGAATATCACAATAACATTCTTGCCTTTGATACTCTACAATATTTTGTTACTTTTGTAGTTATTTACAGCTTCCATTGCTCCCATGATTAAAATCTTTTGTATCATGATTATCATGTACCAAGATTTTTTTTAATTCTCACAGCCCATAAAATTATTCTTTTAGGTCAGTGGTTCTCAACCTTTTTTGTTGATGTACCCCATTTTCCCATTAGTTGTTTCTCAAGTACCCTTATATTTTTGTATGTAAATTTTATAATTACTGCGTTAGATGTATACAGTCCTTATAATTGAGCACCATTAAAAAAACTCTAATTAATTAACTATAACTAAAAGTGAATTATTTATTTTACATAGATAATAATAAATTTAATCAGGTACATACATTTATTTATTATTATTTGATAAGTATATTATATAAAATCACAGAAGTCATTTCAATACATGCATAAATTACATTTCCTAAAAATAAATAATTATAATTAACAATAAAGAAAAATTAAATTATTCTACAATCTAACAAAATTTAATGGGATATTTTTAATTTTAAATTTTCGCTGGATGATGAAATTTTCTTTAAAAAGTAAAAAAGACGTAGTCGTTTCCAAAAACTTGGGTGATCATCATATTTTTTTAAGTGTTCCTTAGTAAAAACTTCAGACGACCCGACCTTTCTTTTTAAGCTACGTGGCCGTCCTGGAAAAAGTTCCTTAAAACATAGAAACAAACCAATTAAAAAGTAATAATTTTTTAAAATTTGGATTTGATGACCTTACGACGTGGGATATTTGTTGCGATAAATCTTCAGCAATTTTTTCAAAATTTGGTTCCCACGTTGTTAAATAGAGATTATAATTGTGTACTGACCTTGAAAGTAATGGCTGCGAATTTATAACGTGCAGAACAATACATGAATCTTTCAATTTTTTTAACAAACGTAACGTATAAATTTGCTAAATATCAAGTAATGCGCGCATGCAGTGACATGCATTGCATGGTGGGGATATGATCCAGGCCTCGTTATTCCTAATACCAGTAGTCCAGTAAAAATACAAAGAGCCCGAATATTATCGAGAAATATTTAATGCTCGGTTAAACCGTAATTTTACTAGACTACAGGTTCACTGAGCACTATTGGCACAAATAGACAGGTAAATCAAGTGGATAAACAAGTTTTTTAGACTGTTAAAAGGGAAATCAGTGTTCACACTGGGATATTTTAAAGCAAGCTTTTGTCATTTCTTGTTTCTCGTATTAATAATTTACAGCAAATTGATTAACATGCGCCATTTTATAATGAAAGTTAGATGTACCCCTTCGATTTACGCTCGTACCCCTAAGGGTACATGTACCCCCGGTTGAGAACCACTGTTTTAGGTGATTTTAATTGCACAAATATCCAAAGGCCTATCAGATTCCTATCTTATTCTCATTCCAAATATATTGGACAATTTTTCCTGCATGAAATTTATTACTTTTGTTATTTTAAACAACTTGTTTCATTTTCCACATTCCCTGCGCACAGTAATTCTTTTCAGAATTTGATTTGTTTTCATAGTATCCATATCACAATTCATCCAATCAATGACTTTAAATCTGACCATACTCACTCTTTTATTCTATCTTACAATCCCAGCAGTTTTATTTTAATTCCTAAATGGAACAATTTCCACTGGAAAGAAGCTTCAAAATATGTATATTTGATAGATTGGTCTTTCCTTTCGATCTCAAGTATGCTGTATGATAAAAACAGTCGTTAAATTACCGAACTTAATATCATTCGCTGTGCAGTAAATGAGACAGGCTACAATAATGCCAAATTTATCTACATCTTAAATAAAGTAAAAAGATTGCTTTTTCCTGCTACTACACTGCATCTCCCGAAAGAATCCACAATAGTCCTTCCCGCGATACCATTTTGTGGTCACGTCACTCTCCGTATTTGCCGTATTTTTAGGCGATATGTGTTTTTTCTGCCAGTTTCCCCACAGCCAAATATTAGGAGGTTGCTGTCCAATGACAGGGATCCTACTTCCATTCTTGAAAGATCGGGGGTTTATTCTATCTTATTAGAAAATATGTCGGGTGGTTGCACCCATTATATTGGCGTGACAACTAGAATGTTATCTTGTCGTATTTCAGAGCATCAGTATTCTATCAGGGAAGGCAGGAATGAAACTGAGCTCGCTAGAATGGTATTACAACACCAACATACCCCGTTGTGGGACGAGGTGGCCATAATAAGGCATTGCAATAACAGAAATGTCATATATATTTGGGAGGCCCTCCTTACCAACATATTAAATCCCTGCAACACCTCCACACTTGATTTGCCCCTTTTGTGGATCAATTTGTATAACTATCTAAAACAACGTATCTAGCTCCACAATTTGGAGGCGCATAGCACTTGCGCATTATAACTGCGCGTGTTTTTGTTTAAAAATTGTCTTATGTTCTACTGTTGCTTTCATTCCAAAACATTAATACGCTTGGAACAGTCAGTTATTTGTAATCAAAAAAAGGAATTTAACTGTTTTTAACAGCCTGAGGAAGACAAAAATAATTATCGTCAAAAGCACTTGTCGGTCTAGCAACATTTATTTATAATTTAACGCCTGTATGATAAAAATTTCTCCTATTAAATGGTCGGCATGCTGTCCATGCCTGTATTATAAAAACAGTCCCATGACAGTCCCATGACACTCAACTTGCTGCATCTAGTTGAGCATCATCTCATTGGAAAATGGCTCTTTGGCACCCCACCATGAGAGGCAACACATGTACAGTACATGCAGGATGTCAGTAACATATCACTGGGCCATTATGATCCCTCAGATCACTACTAGATGATGTGTGATCTGCATGTGATGGCACACCAGCCATGGGGGCAGTATGCCACTCCAAAGCATAGGCAGAATTGAGGCATTGGCCACGGGGTCTCCAGACACAAGCAGAGTCATTGCCAGTGTCCAAACCAAATCTGGATTTGTCACTGTAGATGACCCAGTTCCATTCCATTGTTGTCCAATCCTGTCGGAAGTGGCACCACTTCAAATGGAAGAAATGGTAGGGGATGTCAATGGCCACTGCAGTACCAAATGTTTCTAACTTAGGAACTTCAAAATGGTACGTACAGACATGGAGGCTCATAACAATGGCACCATCTGTGTTTGGATGGCTGACAAAGATACATTCAGCCATGTGCATGTGCATGCTGGTCAGAAGACCAGACAGTTCTCTTAGCTAGTGATCTGATAGGGGTGTCCCGACTCTAGGTGCTGCATGTTCCAGCTCTCTTTTGTCCACTGTCCCAACACCTCTTGACAGTTGTCAGAACGGCCTAGGTGGTAGGCTGTTTAGCAAGATGTCCATCCAACTTCTCTTGACTTGATAATCCTTTCCCCCTCTCAAACTCAGTTAGTCATTCATATAGTCTTTGATTACAATGTAAAGTCATCTGTAGTGATACAGCATTCTGCTACAACAGATAAACTATAGACGAATGCTTTTGCATACTTTTTTATAGGTCAAGGGGGGATGCATGTTAACACCCCTTCCTGGCCTTATTCCATGAGCCATCATGCTATAACTTTAATAATTTTCATATCTACTTGAGATTTACCTTCATACCAAGTTTTGCAATGATTCAACAAGTTTTTGCTAATTTTCATGGCAATGAGTGTATTTTATCGGTTTTACTACAGTTGTTGAATAAGTACTCAATTCATATTTACATTATATGCCTGGATAATTTCTCATTTGCTCCATTTTCTCTTCTAGTTGACATCCCTCTTGTACTCTCGTATTTAGTGCTCAACTCAATAATATTTTCTCTTGCTATTGTTCAAAAATCCTCCTCTCTGTCAGTGGCATTAAAATATTTTTAACTTTGTAATCTTACAGTATGATGTGTCTCTCCTTACTTTTTACATTATAATCTTAAGACCAATTTATCAGAAACCTGTATTACATGTTATTTGCTTATTTGTTTTACCCATCTCCCTTTATACATTTCTAGCAACCAAATCTATTTAAATACCTTTAATGATTTAGGCATCATCTATGACTCAAAACTCAATTTTAACAGTCACGTTCAGCATCTACTTAAAAATTTCTCAATTGATAGATGGATGTTATGGTGTAATTGCAAACCAGTTTCCTACTTGAAAGCTGCTCTATATTCATTGTCTTTTGCAAATATCAAGTTTGTCATCAATTATGGTCCCCTGCTATGACTTCAGACTCTAATTTAGACAAAATTCAATCTGTGCTTAACAAATCTTATCTTTTGCTTATGGACTCAGTCGCCTTCCCCAAACCAAAAATAGCAATGTTGCTTGCATGCATCTTTGTCTTCCTCTCCCAATCCCTCCTTTGCATTCGTTATTTTGATGCCATGTTATTTTATAAATACAGTATCTTAATAGTATTTTAAATTCAAGATTATAATTTTATTTGTGTTTCATCTTTTGACTCAAGGAATCAGTTTTATATGCATCCTTTTACTCGTAAGTCCATTTTTATTTGTTTTCTCAAAATTGTTAGGATTATAGAGCATCAAGTTATTTTAGAGTAATTTTTCTTTTACTTTTTATATTTGTGTTTATTGTTGTTGTCTTGCTTTTTATGTGTTTATCTGTTGTTTTTTTTTTTTTAAATGAGAATTATTGTTCTCGGTAGCAGTCATCAAACAATCTTGCGAACACTATTCTTAGTTAAGTAAAAATTTTAAAACGTTTATTTTGTACTATTTATTTTTATAATATGGAACTGATTTATGAAAGCAAATGTTTCTAGAATTTTGGTTCTCTTAATGAAGATCCACATGTTTTGTATTTGTACAACTTGATAATGACCAAATGTTGAGTAAACATTTGGTCAATATCAAATTGTGTGAATGATTTACATATAACTATTACTTGATATTTGCCATTTTCCACTTGTCAGTATAATGTGTCAAATCAAAGAGGACAAATAGGCAATTATTTGACAATTGGCAAATACCAACTGTGTGGAGCTAGCTGCCTTTAGACGAATTGTAGCATAAATAAGTTCAGCAATTAATACTTTCAAATCATTTATTTCCTCTCTAAATTACCCAAATCTTGAGATCTGACAATTACAGGGGAAACCTGGGAGATTGTCATCACCAATTTTGACAAAATTTTCTGGATGTGTAGTATTTACTCGTACTTAACTTCTACCAAAGCCGTAGGACCCAGTATTCGAGCATTCTCGAGAAACTCACGATTATAGTTTTTCTAGAACTATTAATATCTATGCAGAAGCACCACTCGGGTGTTCATGGTATGGTGTGATTAGTTAAGGCATTGCATGAAGAGCATTAATATGAGGTTTGAATCCCATATCATTGGGGTCACTGGCAAATGAAAAGAGAGAATCCTAGCTGTCAACTTTGATCACTTCCCTTTCTACATCAAAGGGACTCTAGCTGTGCCCTTACCTCTCTGGTAAAATTGAAGCATCCAGGTAGAAAGAATTGTCAAGTTTTCTTTCCTGATTAGAATAGGCATGTCTACCTACTAAAATATTATATACAGTACAGTATATATAATATATTTTTTGCTGGACAGAGTACAGATAGTGTTGAGTTTCTTATTATATCTTCCTATCCTTACATATAAAATGTAATATAAATGTATTGATATGTATATTATATGGTAAAAACCTACATTAAANAAAGGGTAATTTAATTATTGTCATTGTTATTCTTAATTATTATAAAATATTAAATTTTAATATTCATTACCGTAATGTTTAATTTAGATTTCAAGCCAAATTACCAGAGGTTTTTACGTACATTCAAGAATGTTTTAAGAGTATTGAAGGACGATTAAAGGCAGAACAATTTAAGGTATTTCACATTTGATCTCTTTATATTATCTAATTAAGTTAAGAATGAAATTTATTTGTTATGGTAGGAGATTATTTTTAGAAAGATGTGGAAAGATCATATTTAAATGTTCCTAATTGATAACAAAACTCAGAATATTTGTTCCTGTACTTTAGGAACATATTCAATTGAACACTGCTTTGGTACTTCACTAGATAGTAAAAGCAATCATTTTTTTTTACTTTAAATACATAGATTACACTAGATATATATAAAATCAAGGCAGCAGTATTCTAGTGAAATAATGTAATAGTCATTTTAGTGTAATCAGAATGTTCTACTAGTGTTTGACATCGGTGATTTATAACTAAATAATTTACAGCTTCTAACTTATTGAAAATTATATGTAAGTAATAGATGAGAAAATGTTAGTATCAGTAATGATAAAAAACAAGATAAGGAACTAAATAATATAAAAAAAAAAAAGAAGGCAATACAAGGCAATACTTTGGCCTTTATTACAACACAAAAATTATAACTAAGAACACATTTGTTGTTTTCAACACATGAAAATTGAGCTGAATAAGATAAACTTTAGATTGAAACACTTATTTAGTGTGTTTCAAAATAGAAGCAATGATGTCTGATGTAATGGATGATTTTGGAAACTCGATTCCTTTTAAACTTTACTTCATAACAACTTAATTTGGTCCGTGTGTAATAGCTTTTGAACTTGTTTATTGTTGCCAATCAGCCAGTGAAATTTATGAATATAGAAATGAATATAGAGCTATTAAGCTGGAGTTTAAATATGGTTGTTGTGTTAAAGTGTTTAAAATTCTAGGCATATGAAACAAAATTTGGGTGATATATGTTTATTTATGCTTGTAAACAGAAAGCTGAAGTTGGAATTTTGGGTGAACACTTGTGCACCCAAACTTTCAGCTTAAGTCTACTGCACAATCTGGTCAAGTGTACAAATAACATGCGACATTCACCAACCTGGCTGGACTTGATGATGATCCTAACAAATTTGGTTAAAATCAGTCAAGCGGTTTCAGAGGAGTTTATTTAAATCTATGACATTTGAGTGTAAAGAAATGAGATTTGTGTACTCTGCTCAGTTATAACAAAATTATAATTAATAGAGAGTTTGCGGCTGAAGTTCAAACACTAAACTTGTATGGCAAGCAGAACTACACATTTGATGTTTGAACTCCAAGTAAAACATGTTGAGCCACACATTCACATCATGCACTGACTCATGGGATATTATTGAAAAATGGCAAAAATGTTTAACAATGATGAATGTTACCAGCAAAGGTAAATAAACAAATTAAACTATTTTAAAAATATTTATAGGATATTTAATAATACTAAATAATTATTTTTGACTTTAATTAGCATCGTGTCTCCTACTGTAAAAAACAATAGGAAAGTTCCAATGTGTTTTTTTTTTTGTCATGACATACTTTTGTTGAGGGAAGTAGTGGCTGTAAATCGATATGCATATGAAAATCTGAAAGCTGCTTGGAAAAATATATCTGAAAATTATCGTTTATGGCCACTGAATACCACCCTTTGATGTGTTTTTGGGTCAACAAATAGGACATACCGTTCCATCTATGAACCCCCAACAATTTGTCAAAGGAGCACCTTTTGCTGTTAGCTGTTATTACTTGACTAAATAATTTTAATTTTTCTCTTGTTAGTTTTATTTTGCCGATATTCAATAACAATTTTGAATGGCTATTGTAAATGATATTTAGTATTTCATGTAGAAATTGTGAAAGTTCACTTTTTGTTCTCCCCAAGAAAACAGAAATATCATCAAGTCTATTAGGATAAACTATCATCTTTGTAAAAAAAAATACATAATGCATCAATTCCAAGTAAGTATCATCCATTTTCACAAATAATTACAGATGGAAGGCATAAAGCAGAATGGAGGCAAAACAAATCATTTCTTGAGAATTTGTTAAAATTATAAAATTTTATAAGTATTATTCCTTTTCTTTTTTCATTTCTTACTTTAATTTAATCACTTACCAAAAATAAAACAAGCAATCAGAATCTGTCATTTCATTTAAATTCATTCTTACCTTTGTCTCAGGTATAGTTTTAGTCATATGATGTAATAAAATGGCTTCTTCATAACTTTCATACTCATCCAACAAGACTAATACCTCATCAATAGACTACAAATAAAATTTTAATTAAACGCTTACTGTGTGAAAATGAAAAAAAAATGAAAAAAAAGTGAACACAGCCTTAGAGTTTCTGTGGTCACTTCACATCACTTTAAAAAATATTGAATAATTAAATAATTTCTGAATTAAAATCATCTATTTTGTACAATATTATTCATAAATGCTTAAATAATCATTATTTTAATAAAACGCATCATAATTTTAACCCCAAACACATAAAAAATGAAGAAGTTTAAGCCAATCTTCTACTCACCATGCTTGATGTACCAAGTGCCATTGTCAACCTTCTAGACTTGCCAGATGGCAGCGCTTGATGTCCAATGTTCATGTTTTTGTGATAAAAACGTTGGCCGCAACCTCTCTAATGAGTATTTTTGATATCCAGAAGTTTTTGTGATACCATGCATTATATTATTGTAGTTGCTAAATTATTAAGTGCTGTACATTGCTGTATATTGTACTGTCTCTTTTTTTGTCTTTTTTTTTATCTTATTTCTCTTAATAATAAATTCAGAAGTATAACCTGCTAAAGTTCAGTAAAACTTCTGTATGGAAGTGATTGTAATAAATTACCATACTGTTTATCCACCTTCTCATTTACCACATTATCATAGAACACACCCCACTAATTTAGACTTTAATAAACTCGGACAACCTCTACCCCACATTAATACAAGTTAGCAGAAATTTACCATATTAAGATTATTACATAATATTTATATCATCTGTTACATAAGCATTGATTCCTAAAGATCTGACTCAGGATTACTCCAAACATTCTAATAAATTAATGTATATTTCCCAAAACATCTATCCTCTGAAAGGATACATCTAACTGAGATATTGTTCACTACAGAAGCTCCTGCATTAATTTTAAACATAACTTCTTCAAGTTTTTCTATTGTATTTTGGTTATTGTTAAAAAACAGGAAATCTGAAAATTATAAACAACTTTGTAATATTTAAATTTTTAGTTTTCTTAAAGCATCTTTTTTAAAAATATTAAACTAATAAAACAACAGCATATGTACAGTTGTTAAATACAATATTGAAAATATATTGAAGTTGATATTACTCTGTTAACAAAAATTATAATTCTACCCAAAGAGGACATCAATGTGATGTCAAAAGTATGTGCTAATTTTTATCATTAAATTATCTTAATGCCAAAATACAGTATCGTTATTTATAATTCTGCTGTTGTCCAAACTAAAAGTTAGTTTATTTCTTCATTTCCAACAAAAATCTTTTAATCTGCAATCATTTTTGACTTACTTGATCAGTCTTTATCAAACCACAACTTAAAATTCTAATATACATTCTAGTAGAATGTTCAAACAGAATACATTCAAATCGAAAACATCACAATTTGAATTTTCACAGTTTTTAAAATATCCAAATATTTATATTACATTTAATTTTTTAATGTCACTGCAAAAGTAAAATATAAACCATAATACAATGGAAAATCTCTATGATTCTACTATTTTTTGAATAAATTACCAATATGGTATAAATTAAATTTAGTGATAAATAATGTTGTCATGTCCCATCAAATTTAATGATTATAATTAATTCATTCCTGAAAGGAAAGAATAACTTGAAGCTTGGTTCTGTTCAATGATGTATCTGTTCAGTATGACAGAATTGTATAGTTTGAATCTCATTCTGGACAATTCTTTTCTTATAGATATCCTAATTATATAAATTTTAATCGTTAAATGTAATATGAGATTGCAGCATCACTTATTTCTGTATTCAAATTATATCATTAATTTATTGAAAAAGTAACAAAATTATAGTCCAAGAAACTGAGCAAAATTTTATTATACTAATGTTGAAAATATATGAAATTCTGATATTATTTACAGAACACATTAATGTTTGTCAATTATCAGATGTAACAAGTTTAGGCGCATTACAAGGACGTTTCATAACATGTTCTACTCTGCCTCGCACGATATGCCGAAGACACATGCGTGCATCCTCAAAGTTTAGTTAATCTAGACAATCATTTGGGTAGAAGTTAAGAAGATTAAAATGTGATAAATATTTATTTTAATATTAATATTAATTACCATTTATAAAAATGTCATTAAGCTCCAGTTAGTTAATAATTTGGAATCAGACAGATACATTATTGTAATCTCATCCAGTTTTGCAGTATCTTTTAATAAGACAGACTCATAGAACCAAATTATCTTTTACATTTGGGTCCATTTAAATTAATTTTAAAATAAACGGCATGTCAATATTCAGTAATATAATATTTTTAAACAAACATCGATGCTAATATTTTTATGTAATACTTGCTTTCAGCAAAAAGTTATGAATTGTTTTCGAGCTTGGGAAGACTGGGCGATTTATCCTAGCGACTTCCTTATTAAACTTCAGAATATATTTCTGGGCCTCCTACCGTCGGTAAGTGATATTTTTATATAATTATTTTCTCTGTAATATACAGCCAGGACATCTGGGTACTAAAAATCTTATAAAATACTCATAAAAATTGTAACTTATAAGATTTTTAGTTACTGTGTCCTAGCTTTAGTACTATATAGTTCGGGGAAAGTTATTAACAAGGTTGCACATTTGCATTTTCTATTATGCTTTTATGTTAATTGTCATAAATAATGTTTATGTAATAAATCACTACAGTTACTATGTTATTTTAGACAATGAGATTGTTGACTATGTTAAATCATTCTCAACCCACTTTCAATTTCCTTAATATTATTGTGAGGAGCCAAGGGCATAGAATCAATCTATGTCACTTACGGGCACACAATCGCAAGATTGGCTCACTAAAACTTTTTATGGGAGGGCTTGTTGTAAGTAAATAGGATATAGACTACAGAGTCTCTATCCAACATCAGGATAATGACACCAGTTAGTCAGATTTATAACCCATGGATTAACACGCGTATCGAGTCGAGAAGGAGATGATGAAATATGTTTGATTCAGATAGTGTAAGAGACATTTCTTTAACAATAACAACAAAAATTTAATAAACAAATAAAAGGAGGTTATACAAAGTACCTTTGAATAAAGCTATTTTTTCACGGAGAGAGAGAGAGAGCTCACAATTTCTGTTAAAAATCATACTATCTCAAATCATGTGTCTTTTTGTCTTCTTCTTGTGATCTGTTTCTGGATGAATGTTCTTTCTTATGTTCTTTAGCGGCACATAAATAAACCTTTTTCTTCACTGTATTTACCGACTTAATACTTCATAAATAAATAAACATCAACTCACAGCCCGAGTAGATAATAACAACACCAAACGATCGCCTAATTATCGGGCTGTAATATGGCTATTTTAAATGATTGGATCTAAGTAATTTGACAATTAGAGGTAGGCATTAGGCGCCATCTCTTAATTAAATTAATAATTAAATAAATAATAATTAAATACATAAATTAAATACATAAAAATAGTCGGTGATGTATTTAACCAAGTAAGGTTATATCTAAATCTAATATACTTCTGGAAGCGAAGACTCGCTCGGGGTCCGGGTGGCGTAACTGGCAAGCGCACCGCACGGCAAGCGGAGGTTGCGGGTTCAAGCCCCGTCCCGGGCCAGTTCTTTTATTCCAGAATGTTCTAAATTTATTTATTTAATTATTAATTTAATTAAGAGATGGCGCCTAACGCCTACCTCTAATTGTCAAATTACTTAGATCCAATCATTTAAAATAGCCATATTATAGCCCGATAATTAGGCGATCGTTTGGTGTTGTTATTAATACTTCATTTAGGAGACTTCGGAAAATGGTTATGGACGTTGGCCTTTGGGAGCTTATGTGGAATATGTCCTCCTTCTCTCGAATTTCGTGGCATACTCCCCGAATAATTCAAAATTCTTTCTGTTTCTGACGAGTTTTCACCAATCAGCATCTTGTATTTTTCCTTGTGAACAGGAAAAAGGGGATTTTACTGAGGGGTTGACAGTTTCCAGGGTGACTAAAATTTTAGAAGATAAGGGAAAACCAAAAAGGATGTTCAACTTCCGTTGAAGGAAGTGACTTTTACCAGTTTCCTTCGTTTTAGAAAATATAATTTTCCCATCAAAATCATAGAATATTTTCATCAAAAATTTTTCTATTTTGATTAAATTTCTAATTAATTACAGGTGGTTTGCATCTCACATTATCATATTTCATAAATTTCCTTGCTCCATCAAGTATACCTTCCTTTGATAATTTTAGATTATAAAATTTGAATCTAAAAATATGGATATTGACTTCTGTCAATTTAATTTTATCATACTTAACATAGCTTGTGTTTCTTATTGTAGTATATCTTTAAATAATAGAATGCACATTTCTCTATACTTTATTTTGTTGTTTGAAATATCTTCACAAACATTATTCAACAGTGAATTGTTCTGTCTTTTGGTGTTCAAAATATCATCTTAGTCAGCATGTTTGATAAAGTGACACCAATATTTTGTTACATCTTATTGGCTCCGTTATAAGCAAATGACTACTCTGACTGGCTACTGTTACAACTTTATTTTATAATGGGCTTAATGTTATGACTGTTTGTAAGAATATAACAAACTATTTTATAACAGAAAATATCAATGTATAAATTTCCTATTATTTTCTTCAAAAGAATTAAAATGAAACATCATTTAATCAGAATGAATTCTTTTAAGTATATAATAAGTTTAAATATATTGTCATAAATAATTCTTATTACTAATAGTGAAATATATTATCACTTAAAGCTCATTTTATATATATATATATATATATATCTGTTTAACATTGATCTTTAAACACAAGTTATGTCAATAAATCATACTTTATCTTCAGTAATGAAATATTAATACTTGATAAAAATCTGTTAACTTATCACAAATGTTTTTGGTCCACCTTAGGCCTTCTTCAGGTGGAGTTCTATTAGAGAAAAACTTTTTCTGGTGTGATTTCATTTCCAATGTGTTCTAATTTCCTTTTGAATTTCCTTTTTAAATTTTAAATTCCTAACAATGTGCGCCTGCATTGGCTGTTATAACGTTGAGTCATACATAGGCTGCCACACCCTTGAGAGTTGTTTTTCATCTTTAAAATTGATTGAAAGGTCTTGGCATTCAGCTTTAAAAATTTCTAATGCCTCCAAATTCCTATGACCCAGCTTTATAACAGCCAACGTAGGCACACGTCATTAGGAATTTAAAATTCAAAAGGAAATTAGAACACATCGGAAATGGAATAGAACAGAATTGCACCAGAAAGTTTTTCTCTAATAGAACTCCATCTGAAGAAGGTCCTAAAGTGGACCAAAAATGTTTGTGATATATTAAAAAAAATTCTGCAAAGCTTTATAAGGTTAGTGTGATATATATCTGTCAATACTTTGTTTACGAGATGGATTTTAACACACCAAACTATAGATATGTAGAATAAGGCATTTTTTTTACAGATAGCTTTAAATTTGGAGAAATCAAGGAATAGTTTATCTTCAATTTTAGTAGTGGTTTTTTGGGAATGATAGAAAAATAATCTAATTGTTACATTAAGGAGACAGTATAGTGTATAAATACAAAATGACAATCTGAAATTAAATGAGGGATACAAATGTAACTATAGTTAAAAGGAAGTAGGCCATTAAAATATTTATAGGTATAAATGCAATCAAAATATTTGATATGTTTGGTTAATTTGGAAAGTCTGGGACAAATTCATGCAACATCAGGAATATTAGTAGCTGACAGATGCCAAAATTAGTTCAGGTTAATGAAAATTTTGTTAAATAAAAATACAGAATTTAATATTGATAAGGAGGCTGAAGCCCATATAGGTAATGCATAATAGATAATAGATTGGAGGTTAGCAAAAAAATATAGCAGGGAGAGTATTTTTTATTTGATATATTTTTCAAATTATGCCAGAGCATACTGTGTGAGATAGAAAACTTAATAAAAAGATTTCCATGCATAGAGGAAAGAAAGTCAAGTATCAAAAATTGACACCAAGGTTGCAAACATTATTCACAATTTCTAACAGCTGATTATTTAGAAAAAAATTATGAAAGATAGGGTTCTCATAAACCTGAAAATCATGATTTTGTTTTGCTTGAATATATTGTAAGATTTAATAATTTAAATAATTTATTTAGTTCAATGATATCTTTTTGTAATGTATATTGACAACAATTGGCTAATTATAATATCTGATTTAAATCCAATTGAGTAACGTTCTGCAATAAATGGTGGGGAGCCCTGCCTTAGTGCTCCCAAATCTGTCTGGAGAAGCAACTGTATTCTTTTGTTTATAAATTTGATATGTTAGAAAATTTGTCATATATGGAGCTTTAACTTATTTTATTATTCTAGTCTTATTTCATTTTACTTTAATTTGTTGTTTGCTAACAAAAAAAAAATGGTAGTTTTGAAAAAGTCACATATTTCTTATTTTAGTTAAATAAACTATTTTGTGTTTTCTGCTAGTGAAATAATTTATTCACTTGTGTAAACAGATGTTTATTACAATTAGCAGAAACTGTAATGATTATAATGTGGGAGTACAGAACTGGTTCTTTGTTCCCATAATACAATCAACAATCAATCCATATTTTATAGTAAATAGAATAATTATATATCTGTATTGTAAAAACTCTGGTCTGGTAAGAGTAATAAACATTTTTTATAAATCTGAACATGTACTTTCTAAAATTAATTTAGTTTTATTAATTTTGTTTATATTTATTTCTAAAATGACTGATTGTTAATTGATAGTATACTAATCATAGATTGTGGGGAAAAAATCATTATTATTCATTCTTAATTTTTTATGTTTATAATTTTTAAAATATTCTTAAAAAAAATTTATAATTTGATTAGAAAGTAGATGAAGACTCGACGGATGTCGATGGAGTGACGATGCCAGAAGTGGTACCTGAACAGTGTCAGGAAGATATAGATGGTGTACCTTTAACTGCGGATGAAACCGACATTGACGGAATTCCTTTAGAAGAGAAAGAAGATTTGGATGGAATGCCATGTAAAATTACTTAAGTTTTATTAATAATGTAAAAGTTTATAGGTCTCCAAAAGAAACATTCGGCACAAATCAGTACGACAGAATTATTTTTAAATTATAATAGTAAATCTAATAGTTATTTACTTATAATATACAAGGTGCAGTCAAAATAGTTCTGGGACTGGTCCAATAAAAAAATGTCTGTGTACATGCTAATTTATTGAGAATTGTCACTTTCAAAATGAGTTTCTTCTGCAGCTATATATATGGATTCCAGAGCTTCTCCCAGTTTTCAAAACATTCCTGGAACTGTTTTGGTTACATTAATAAGCACTCACTGTGATTCTGTTTGAATGTCTTCAATGTTCTCAAATTGATGTCCTTTCAACACTTTTTTCAGCCATGGAAGTAGAAAAAGTCACATAGTTCCAAGTCTGGTGAATAAGGAGGGTGGGGGAAACATGGCCATTTTATTTTTGATGAGAAACTGTTGAATAGCGATAGCTGTGTTAGTGGGGGCATCATTATGATGCAGTAGTTTTGAGCTTTCCAAAGATCTGGCCTTTTTTGTTTGACATTTTCATGTAGGTGCTTCAAGACATCCATATAAAAATTTTGATTTGCAGTTTGGCTTTATGGAACAAATTCTCAAAGAATTCCCTCCCTGCCAGAAAAATGAGTATTATTGAGATTGCACCTCACTTATTATGCTTTCTTTGGTCTGGATGAGCCATGATTTTTCTACTGAGTCAATTGTCGTTGGTCTCAGGGCCATAGCCATAAATCCATGTTTTGTCTCCTGTAATCACTTTGTTTTCTGTTGCAGTCTTGCCAAGTTTGAAACAAAATTTCATGCACATACACTGTTCCTTAGAAAAATTCATTTTACAAAGCAATGAAAATTGCAAGTAGACGCAACGTGGATCTAATCTAAATAGTAAGAAATAAAAACTACATAAGATAATGGCATGGAATTTAGTGGGAAGCTAAATAACGATTGTCTATTACACATTCTAGTTTGTGCAAGTTCATCATGTGACCAATTGTAGTGCCACGTCACCAGTCCCAGAACTTTTTGACTGCGCCTTGTAAATATTGCTAAGTATGTGGCCATTTACAACTGCAATCAAATTTTTGGAGATAATCCAATTATTAACTGTAATAATTTTTGTCCAATGACTCAGCAGTAAAGATGCTAGCTTCTCATTATAAGAGACTTGGGTTTGAATTCAGATTACAGTAGAACCCCTCTAATCCGTCACCTTTGGGACTGGGGGTATGGTCGGAACGCAAAAAAGGTCGGATTATCAGAAAAAAGTAAAATAAACAATCTTCCCCTTTGTCCAGTCTTTGTAGCACTGCTAATTTTTCATTTAATGAAAGAGTAACATGTTTACGTTTCACTCCTAACATGTTAAAAACACACACAAAACTGTACATGTACACACAATGTAAAACATATACTGTAACGAACACAGAAAAACACCACGGATGGTGAGTCACCGACGAGTCGGAACAAGTTTCTCGACTCTGACCACGGTCGGATTAACCGGAGTGACGGACTAGCCGAGGGCGGACTAGAGGGGTTCTACTGTAGTTCAGAAATTTTTGAGTGAATTGACCCAAATGACTGGCCCTATCCCACATGACTGGCCACATTAATTATGTGGCTAAAGCCTTGATGAATGTGAAGAATGCCCTCTTAGTGCCTACAAAAAAGAAAAAATTAAAAAAGTGATAGAACCAAAAATTAATTAATACAGCTGTAGAATAGCAGAGATGTATAAAATAATGATGTTTTAGATACCAATGTTTTCAAATTGACAAAGGAAATGTATTGTTTTTATAATATGTAACATATTACTGTACTAAAATTCTATTGCAACATGTATGCATTTCATATAAGGGTAGGCTGAAAAGTAATACACACATGCTTGTAGAGCACGAATGAAATGATTTTCATAAGCGCACCAGGTGGCATATGGAAGTAACATTCCCCCTCTATGCATATGTGCAGTTTGAGGTTGATGCGTTCATTCAGTATATTTTGAGAAACAGAAATATGGAGACGTGTTCTAGTGCTATGTCAACGCAAGTTAAACAGCATGCTGTTATCAAATTTTTAACTGCTGAAAAAGTGACTCCTACTGAGATTCATCGTTGTTTAAAGGCTGTTTATGGTGACAATGCTGTTGATAGCTCTACTGTAAATCAATGGATAATAAAATTTCATGGTTGTGAGCCTGGAAAAGCCATAATTGTTGATGAAACACTCAGCGGACGTCTGATTACTGCCACAGACGATTACCATTGCCCCTTGTTGCAGTGTTTAATTCTTCTCAGTGCATACAGACTCTAAAACATCTCAGACGTCGAGTTTGTCATGTTAGAGGCAGCCTGGTGACAATAATCTTGCAACATGACAATGCTTGTTCACATACCTCGCATGCAACTGGAGAGGCTCTGCGAAACCCGAAGTTTGAACCGATTCCACACCCTCCTTATTCCCCCAATCTTGCACCTTGTGATTTTTATTTTTTTCCTCTACTCAAGAGAGACCTCAAGGGTGATCATTACACCTTGGACAATGAAGTGAAGCCAGCTGTCAAGTCTTGGATTCGAGAAAAGTCAGAAGAATTTTTCAGTGATGGAATGAAAAAACTTGTTACACGTTGGGAGAAATGTGTTAGCCTTAACAGTGACTATGTTGAAAAATAAATATATGATTTTGAAGCTTAAAAGTTGTACTTTAATGTACTTTTCGCCCAATCTTGCTATTTGTTTTTGTTTGTGTTCTACAAGCATGTGTGCATTACTTTTCAGCCTATCCATGTACAGTACTGTATGACTAACATGGAAACAATATTTCTGATCTCATGAAAGATATTATATGGTCAAGTGTTGCAATACTTGCCAAGGATATGTACAATATCCTTGGCAAGTATTGCAACACTTGACCATATAATATCTTTCATGAGATCAGAAATATTGTTTCCATGTTAGTCATTCATCCTTTAATAAAAATTTACAACTTCACATTTTACTAAAAAATATATCAATCATTGTTTTTCATCCTCTAACTTAACTTCTTGTTGGAAGAATTTGATGCATTTGTTATCTGTAAAGTATAAAAATAGTTCTCTAGCCAAAACTTATTTCAGACAGTTGGATTTTCTAATTTTATACCAAGGACATACATGGCAAACATAAAGCATAAATATAAAGCAAATATGGTATATTCTTCTACACATACTTCTTTAATTATCCAAATAAACTAAATAAAATAAATTATTGCAATAACAAAATCAGAAAACAATTTCCTCAAATAAGCAATAAACAAAGAGTAAATTTTGTCATAAATTGTACTGTTTTTTTTTTTTTTTTTAATTCCGAATATCAAAAATCACTTAGAGTATAAAACTAGTGGCTAGTCAGAATTTTCTTATAATTTCATGAAACTTTTTGCATTTGAAATTTGGTGTCATTTTTAGAAATAATTGAAATTTTTTGAACCGGTGATTGAGAAATGCTGATGTATACTGTCAGTAGGACTTAAATTATTAATAGGACTGTAATAATTTAAGTCCAAGTTGGCAAATATAATAAGTATTGAAATAAGAACAATAAGGCAATAATAATTACTGTCAGTAGAAGTTTGAACAGAGAATAATTAAGAGAATAATGTTGAATTAATTGAGAGATTCAAAAAACCTAAACAGAATTACAAAATTCTGAAAAAAATATTTCTTCCAGGAAAAAATTTATTTTACATATTATTTTCAAGTATATTTGCATCCATTATCAAGATACATTGTTTTTAAAGTAACACCTGTGATTGAAAATTTTAAATAATCATTACATTTGATCAGAAAATTTATTTTAAGTGCAATGTAATAATATTACATTGCACTTAAAATATTAGAGGCAAATGTAATATAAGGTGCAATGTAATAAAAAGAAATAATTCAGTATTGTTTTCAAAATACCATATTTTTTTAATTGTATGATAACATTCGATTTCAAAGCCAAGGTGTAAGATTTTTTTATGAAAAAAAATTTTTTTTAAATTAATTTTATTACATATTTGTAGTATTTTTAAATAACAGTTTAAAAATACTATAAATGCTACAAAACATGTGAGTCAAAAATTATCCTTGCTCTGGTTATATTAAAACTTCTGTTAGCCACACCATCTTATTGGCACTTTTTGTACAAGGTTGCTGTCTCTCCAGTCACTGCTATGCAAGTTCAAACATATTACATCGGTACAGTTGTGATTGTGGTGTTAGAAACAGTGATTGCCTCACTTCTTATTTGCACGAAAAAGCTGCATGCAGTGATCCATTATTTTGTGGTCTGAGGGTGTGTTGGCTGTCGATATTTATTAAAGACTCTGTGCACGGTATGGAGAAAGTGTTTTGTCATGAAGAAGTATGTTTGAATAGATACAGAAGTTTGAGGAAGGTTGCACAAGTGTCAGTCATGAAGAGGGATCCAGACACCTGTCCACATCCACAACCAGCTGTCTCCCATCATCCTAATTAGCCGTACCTATCATTTCTGATTTACCGGCTTTTTATTTCCTATTTATATAATATATATTCTATTAATCTATAAACTAAATTAAATTTCAGATATTTTGTTTAAAACTGGATAAATTGTATGTGCTTAAAAACCTATCTCAATTAAAATGTATATAATGTATATAAACATATGTATAAAGAAAATATTATAAAACAATGTAAATTACTAGAAATAAAATGTATAAGTAAGCAGTGGATGAAAGGGAATCAATAAAATTATAACCTTAAAATGTGAAGTTTCTATCGTAATTTCAACATTCTTTCAAATAAACCAATAAACTTATCATAACTCTGTAAATCTCTTACTATGCACATATAAGGGCTATTTAAAATATTATCATAAAAATATGTATATCTCTAAAATTACTATATATTGGACAATCAAATAAAAAGTGATTCAAAGAATCAATTTCTCCACATTCACAATTTGGAGAGTTG